CAGACTAGCATTCGCAAACCTAGGAATCCTCACAGTGGTGTCTCTCTACATACTTGAATCTATAAAGTATGTGAATGAAATAAACCCCCCAAGAAACCGAGACCTGCACCACTACAACACCCGTCATGGCTCCAAATTTGCACTACCAGTTCACCGAACAACTCTTTGGGAGAAAAAAACCTTCCTACACCGGCTGCAAGCTGAGGAACCATCTACCTGACTAGTGACTACCTGAGAGACCTGACTGGCAACAAGCTACAACAGGAGTTGAAGAAGTGGCTAATTGCAAGACCCTTCTACTCAATAAAGGAATTTTATGAAAATTAACATGTACAATTCACTATTGTATTGACACTATTGTAATTCTTGACGAATTAACAAGAATATTGTATTGTATTGTATTCTTAAGGGGAGCAACTCGAGCTTTGGCAATTAACAGATGTACGTTGATTTCTCCGGATGAACTTACACATCGCAAGTAGACACAAGCTCCGTAACCTGTTTCAGACCCATCACAAAATCCATGTAAACTGATATGAACAGCATCAGCTACGGAAACATATCGAGGTAAGCTAAGTTCACTTAAGAAAGGAAGTTGTTGGAGGAACTTAGACCATTTTTCAGTTAGATCCGGAGGTACAGGCGCATCCCATGATAAACCTAGTGCCCATAAAACTTGTATCAACGCTTTTACCCAAAGAGTGACTGGAGTCAACCAACCGTTTGGATCAAATATTCTGCTAACTGTTCCAAGTATACCTCGTTTAGTGGGAGGTGTGTCTGGGATATTCAACTGATAAGAGAAAGTGTCTGAGTTAGGTGACCATTTTATACCTAGTACCTTGAAATAAGGTTTACCTGAGGAGTTGAAATATAGAGGAGTTTCTTTGTAAGAGTCGGGAAGAGTTTCCATGATTTGAGGGCAGTTGCTAGTCCATTTCCTCAGTTCGAAACACCCTTTTAAGAGAAGTTGTTCCACCTCATTTTTTAGTACCAAAGCTTGTTCTATGCTGTTGGCACCTAAAATTAAATCATCAACATATACTTGTTTCTTTAAAGCTTCAGCTGCCAGAGGAAAGTTTGCGCCTTCATCAGTGATAAGTTGGTGAAGTGTCCTTAGTGCCAAGTAGGGTGAACAGTTGAATCCAAACACAACTGTAGCTAAACGGTAAACTGAAAGGGGATCGTCTTTGTCATCTCTCCAATACAACATTTGATAGTTTCTATCATCTGGGTGGATCATTATTTGACGAAACATTTGTTTGATGTCACATGAGAAAACAATAGGGGATTGTCTAAACTTTAACAGAATATCATTAAGATTATTATGTAGTTTTGGCCCCGTATGTAGAATATCGTTAAGGCTGACACCTGATGAGCTGCGTGCGCTTGCATCGTATACTACACGAAGCTTGGTAGTTGAGGAATCTACTTTGACAATAACATGGTGAGGTAAGTAAAATTGTTTATTATCACTGTTTGAAGGAGGGTTAACAGGTTCCATGTGACTAGATGACAATAAATCATGTATGGCTTTACTATACTCTGCTTTAACTTCAGGCTGACTTTCTAATTTTCTTTCAAGTGATAGGAATCTATTACGAGTGCAAAATGATGAGTCACCAAGGGGGGATGATTTTCTTTTATGGGTAGCCTAACAAAGTAGCGTCCATCTGAATCCCTAGAGACCGTGTTTAGAAAGTGATGTTCACAAATTTCTTGTTCAGATGTTACATGAAGTTTGATGGGAGGTTCTTCTAGAGTCCAAAATTTCTGCAGAGAATTGTGCAAATCAATATCTTGAGTACTTAATAAAGAAGAAACATTACCCTTGCATTGAGGGGCTGTTTTGTGAGGGACTACAGCAGGAAGAGTTGTGGCAGAGCCTATGATAAGATATCCAAATACAGAATTCATGGCAGCAGGAAGATCCTTGTTTTATGATGATGCGTTCACCAGTGATTACTTTAGCGAATAGATCAGCACCTATGAGCACATCTATCTTACTAGGCAAATGAAAAGTTGGATCAGCCAGGACCAAATGTTTGAAGTATTCTTTAACATTAACTGGAACTTCTGAGTGTGGGAGGTTTGAGGTTATTCTGTCTAGAATAAGGACTGGGTTGTTATCAGCAATCATTTCTCCGCTAAGAGACCATATGTTAACTTTTGACACACCTTTAGATTTAACTTCTACTGATGATAGGCCATATATCTTGGAATTACTGGAAAATGTCCGTTTAAGCATAAGCAGGTTAGCAATATTTTCTGTTACGCAGCTTACCATAGATGTGGAGTCAATAACGGCTCGGGCTACAACTGTGTTACCGTTATTAGCTTTCAAGTGTACCAATGCAGTAGCTAGCAATAGAGTTGTATTAGGGTTGGAGGAGACAGCTACAAAGGGAAGTTCAGGATGATCATATGTTTTATTCATTTCCTTGGGCGCTGGAGCATTATCTTTAGGCTTTTGGTTAAGCATATCATTAGGCCTATTATTAGTTTGATGTAAGAGGGAGTGATGTTTCAGTTTACAGTGAAAACATGTTTTATTTGACTTACAGTCTTTGACAGAATGAGCGGTACCTAAACAGTTTAAACAGAGGTGGTTTTTCCTCACAAAATTGTATCTTTCCTGTACGGACAAATCTTTAAATTCTGAGCATTGGTAAATGTTGTGATCACTTTTACTACAAAATGTGCATGTGGCGTTTGAGCCTCTGAAAGCTAGTAAAGTAGTGCGGTTTTGGTTTGGTGTAGATTTATGTAGGCCTATGTGGGAGGAGTGAGGGCTGGACCCCTTACTATTTTGAGCGAAACCTACATTGCTTGAAGTAGTTCTGGGGAACTGAGAGTTAGAGAGGTTAGCAGCTTCTAAGTAAGCACATTCATTTTCTAAAAATGTTATTACTTCACCTACGGTTGGTAGGTCTTGAGAATTAGCCCGTAAGCTTTCAAACTTTTTGCAAATGTCTTCGTGTAATTTCCTTAGTAACATGGCTGAGAGCAAGATATTATCCTTGGCTATGTCATGATTGAGTGCAATGAGTGCTTGGGCATTTTCGTTATATTGAGAAATGAACGAGCGAATGTTCTTGAGGGAGGAGTCACTTAGGTTAGGTAAGTTTATTATGTTGTTGAGGTGTATACTTATGATTTTCCTACTGTTTAGATACCGTTTTTGAAGAAGATCCCATGCTACATCATAGTTTTCAGTTGTGATTGGTAAATTCTTTATAAGATTGAAAGGTTCTCCCTGTAGAGTAGAAAACAGATATTAAAATCACTCAACTTTAGATATGTTTTCATTATCATGAACAGATACTTGAAACAGGCTTACATAAGACAACCATTGTTCTGGTGAACCATTGAAAGTTTTGAGAGATAGAGGAGGGAGTTTTAGAGAATGGCTATCTTGGTTTGAGGAAGAGCTACTAGGCCTATGGGGTAGGCTACTTGATGGAGTATTTGGTATCGAGTCAGTGTTTAGAACAGGCCTATTACTTATAGGATCTTGAGAAAGGTGTTTCTTCGTGAGAGTTTGAATTCCTACATAAGTCAGATATAGTATCTTGTAATTGAAAGAGTGTATCTTCTTCATAATCATCGGGAAGCGTGTCACTATTAAATAGTTTCTCAAGGGAGGTTTCAAATTCTGAGTATTTTCTAAGTGTTTCTGAATCTAAAAGTGTTATCTTATTTATTTGTTCTTGGGACAATTCAGGTAATAAATCTAAAGCTTGGATGTTAGTTTTGATTTTGGCTAAACGATTCGCAATTGAGTTTAATTGCCTAGAGAGGGTGACGAATTTCATTTTTGTTGTACAACAAAACAATTATTCTGAGTATTCAGAGAGATAGAGATTAGAGATTGTCATTATTTTCTGCAATACGAGACACAGATAACAGATGGCATTGTTACATTAGCGCTATTAGTGGTTGCTATGAGCATTACAAAATACCAAAAATTGTATAGTTTGATACAACATTGAAATGGCAAATAATAAATTACAAGAAAAACAATATGCGTAAAATATAGAGGAATCAAAGTTTGAATCAAAGTCCTTTAGATATTGACCTTTTAGATCTACAGTAGTCTTGGTAGTCTTTTTACTTCTTAGTGATGAGAAAGGAGTGAGGAGTTCATTTTAAGGTTTCAAGTTGGAGTTGGAGTAGAACTAATTGTGACTTATAGTTACCAAAAGAGCTGAATTTCAGACGATCTGCGGCCGAAGGACCATGTAGTATTTCGATAGCGTGTGTAGTGGACTGTATTTATAAGATAAGCGGAGTTTGATTCTTCAAATTAGAACACTGAGATACAATTGACAAGTAGTTTGAATAACAATTAAACTTTGAGTGATTTCACAGAGCTTTAAAAGATATTAACATTACGAAGAGAGAGAGGGATCTTCATTTCTTCATGTTTTGTTTTCAACTAACAAAATTACTATAAATTAGTTCATTGTTAAATCACATGTTCTTTTAAAACATTAAAACAGTTAAAAATCAATGCCATCTGTATTTATTTTTAGATGAAAGAAAGCATTATTATAACAAATCACAATTACACTGAATATTGAACAGTAACTGTTACTGCAATGAGATAGGTTGTTAGTAACTAGGTAAAAAACATGATGATTTGGTTCTAGAGCGAGTAGTTTGAAGCTTTTGGTAGAAAGGTAGTTAATTTTTCAAATGAAGAATTTCTCCCTTAGTTTGACTGCAGTAGTCCTATATGTCTAATTAGCTTAGTTGATTAGGCTATATAAGAATGTATTTAATCCTTAAACACTGTTACTATATACGAAAAAATAATGTAAAAGGTCATGTTAGCCCATAGTGAAGTCACAACTTCAGCCGGTTCACAATAAAACTCAAAAGTATGTCAGGCGAAGCCGAAGGGCAACAACTAGTATTCATGTGAATGACCTTTTGAGGTTGGCAACTTTATTGCAACAAAGTTCATCAAATTAAGTATATGTTTAAATAAGGAATACCTTGTTCTGAACTGCATTTTTCTTGAGAAGAACTTTGTTCTCTTCTCGCTGAATTTCAGCTTCAATCTTGAACTCCTTTTCTTTACTTTTTAAGTTTTGGTTTTCATCATGAAGAAATTTCCAAGACTCCATAAGTAAGTTTATCTATAAGTTAAAATATTTATTATTATTTAATCCAACACACAATAAGTCCATTTTTCACATCCAGTATTGGTATATTATTTTTAGAGGTATCTCTAAACTCATCTATCTATATATACTAGGTGAAACCCGTCGAAATCGACGGTTACTTTCAAGGTTTACGTTCTAATTCATCTAACTGCAATAAATTGGGTGAAATATACATATTTTGAGCATTTAGTATTGTTTAAAGAGTAATAAGTGTAAAAACAATAATGATATTAATTGCGTTAGTTGCCAAATTTGGTTGATCATTCAATGAATAAAATATTCCCCATACCGTACGACATATGAGTTATTATTAGTATGTTATATGGTATCTCTTCCTTTGGAAGAACCATTAAATAGTATTAAAATCGTATTGGTGGATCTTTTGTAGTTAATGAAATGTAATTTCATATGACTTTATTTCAAAAGAAAATATTTTTTGGGAAGACATATTCTAACTTCAAAGGGAGGTATATCCGTTACAGTGTAAGTTTGATTTTTCCTTCGTCATGTCGCGTCAGTTCATATCGTACTTCTGTGCCAATGAGTGAACCCTCTAGTATAGTTTTGAGAAATTGATTGTGGGGTTACTGTTAAAGCTGGAATTCCTTGACATGGGGGATGTCAGTTAGTTGTCTGAGCCTTATCAATAACATAAAGTTGTCAATATAATCTCTCTATGGAATGTTAGGTGTAGTGGAATACTTGAAGTGAAGTTGGCTTTTATTCTTGAACTGTTAGGGGCCTCCTAGTTCATATGGTCTTGCGGCTTCATTGGCAACAAATAATGCAAATCACTTAGCAAAGGGACATTTCCAAAAAGCAAAAATACTGTAAATTGGCTGTTACATATATAGGTATTGACGTTTACATATTGTTAATCAACGTATCTTATAAAGGATTATGTGATCTAGTTTAAAAGGAATATGACCTTTCTGTCATGATAGTAGCTGCTTAAATAGTATTTTCTCTTTGTACAATATTTTACATCCAAAATGTGGTGTTATTTTCAATAATGTTACTAAACCACTGCGCCAAAGTCCGTAATATAGGCAGGTGCAAATAATTTATCAAGATGGGTTCCATATTAGGCAAGGTTTCTATGTTTGGATTTTATTAGACACGATAAGAGCAGATATTTCTACATAAATATTTGATATGTGTAGAATAATATGATAAAATGTATTCAAAAGTGGTGAAAAAGGCATACACCAACCCGTAAGAAATAATTGTAAGAGTTATTGTGATAAAAGGATTTTCCACTGATTTCGTAATGGAACTTTATATTGCAACACATGACACGATAAAGAAGAAAATCAATTTTAAAATCAGAAATAAAAATAACATTGCAAATACTTATTTGGTAGAGTCATAGACAAATAGAGTGAATAGAATTCAGTAAGGCTAGGATTATACTAGGACGCTAGCGTCCGAGAGGCTGGCGTCCGGGACGCTAGCGTCCCACTTCGAGCCGATAAATTACGTGATTTGTGTTGGGACGCTAGCCTCTCGGACTACTATTTTATCAATGTTTTTTCACTTTTTGTCAGTCGTCAATATGGCACCAACAAATGAAGAGATGTTGCTGATTGATGATGTTATTAATTAAGAAAAGAAGGCGTCGTGCAAAAAGAAGGTTTAGTGTAGACCCGTTTTTAGCTGCCCGACGTGTTAAAAGCCTGTATTTTACATAGATGATCTTTGCAATAGTGAAACAAGATTTTTTAATTACTTTAGAATGTCACTTCCTTCATTCAAAGAGCTTCTAGGCTACATCCAAAGTGACATATTTAACAAAGTCACAAAAATATAATAATATAGAATTAACCACATGTTATAAACAAAACATTACAACAAACACGATGAGCAGTCAGCTGACTCAGACCACCACGTGATCAAACTGCGTACTCGCGCACATGTCAAAAGAGAGCGTCCCAGCTCGGACGCACAAAATCGAGCGCCCGGTGGCTTTTTTAGCATCCGACGCTGGCATCCCTAGTATAATCGTCCCCATTTGATTTAATGCCCCGCTAGCGTCCCGGACGCCGGCCTCCCGGACGCCAGCGTCCTAGTATAATCCTAGCCTAACTTCCAATAAATGTGTTTGGTTTGAAATACAATTTAAAAATGAACAGCTGTTTCATTAAAAAGTATTATTTACATGGCCAAAATGTAAACAACTCTGTGGAGGGATCTTTAAAGGCTTCTGGGGCAGAGTCCTAAGGGATTTTGCTTAGTTTTTCTTTTGATAACTCATCTACAGACCAAGACCTTTCTTTGGACACCTCTACCAAGTTTCTACGCCCTGCCGTTCTCTCAAATTAGTGGGGACAAAGTTTCCAATTAAATATTTAGATTCCCCCATGTTAATCTTATGGGAGAAACTCCAACTTTGATGGCCTGTGTGACAAAGCCTGAGGATTTTTATTACAGGAATTGGTGAAAGGGGGCGTCTACACAAAAAATACTTTATTTTGACACGTCGTTTGTAAAAATCCGTCCATTATTAACGGAGGAGTAGTGTTTTGTAGAAATCGCCTTCACGTATTATATACAGTATAAGGATTATTAATACGCTACATGAAACATTGTAAACAATAAGGCTTTTTTGTTTTGAGATTTAACTCCACATATTATGTACCAAAATGTTCGTCTAGGTGTGTAGATTTTCAAACTGTCCTTACATTTTTTTAAAGTCCATTGGGCTCTGCCCTAGTGGTTTTTAAAGTTCCCATGTTATCCTTATGAAGAAAATATTTGTTTACATTATGATCAGCTGGATAATTTAATTGCTGGTAATATTTTAGTTGCAATTTAAGGAAACGTGTGCTACCAGGGGTGCCCAGAGAGGAGGTACTGTGGCGTGTTTGCCCCACAGGAATTTTTGAGGGGGACTTTTTTTTAGGGAAATTTGGGGGGGATATTTTTTTGCTAGCTGTCAAATGAATGTATAATGTTGTATAAGCTGTCTGAAAAAGTGTTTTTAAGTAGCTCACTATCAACACCAACAACATTTTGCCGTTCGTAATTAAGATTGTTTCTAAGAATGGTAAAAACACACCTTGTCAGACAATCCTTAATATACCAGTGTAGAATTTTACTTGCTACATATGTTTTGGTGGTTCTTTAACTCCACCATTGTCAGGATTTAAAAAAGATCCACTTCTGGAGGTGTCGTCAGAATACGTTACAAACATTAACACAAAACAATTACAGATAGGCCTATCAATTCACGTGTGTACATTGCCGTCGGCAGGACTGGAAGTAAACTGAATCAGGTTCAGGTTATGAAGGATCGATGTGGTTTCTGGATTATCGTCTGCGTTTTCAACAGCTGATATTGGACTATTGTAGTGACTGAGAAGAGTGTTGAAAATATAATGGGATTCATAATTGAGCTTTTTCACTCAAAAAATTTGTGCTGTTCTTAGTTTTATGTATTTATATATTTCACTCTTCAAAGTATTTAATAAATTTCCTTTTGCGCAGTACTGTAGAATTTCGAGACCATCATTTATATCCAGCATATAAATTGGTTATATTGTCAATAATTATTAATGGAAAACTCAATTATGAATCCCATTATTTTTAACACTCCCCTTCGTTACTACAATTAGTCCAATATCAGCTTTTGATAACACAGACGACAATCCAGAGACCACGTCTTTCCGTCATAACCTGATTCAGTTTACTTCCAGTCCTGCCCGCGGCAATATACACACGTGAATTTATAGGCCTATCTGTTATCGTTTTGTGTTTTGTGTACAAACGGATAGTCTGACAAGATGCGTTTCTACCATTATTAGTCATAAAAGACAATCCTGGGGCTATCAAAATTAATTATAAGATTACTTCGTCACAAAAACATTTTGTACAGGTGGCAATTAAGGTATTGTGGGTATTTTGCCTGGCGATTTTTGTAGAAGGCAGCCTGGGAGTGGCGAGCAACAAGTCTGTCTTATTTCGTGACTCTGCCTATAATTTTGAAACAAGATACTTTTTGCCAAAGTAGCCTATTATTAGTGCACTTAAAGCTGTTTGAATTCTTAAGCCCTGGAAAAATTAACGCCACCTAATATATTGTACAGTTACAGTACTGTGTTGGAGTAGAGTAATTCACCGATTGCGAGTATATTGTTGTACGTTTTGAAGACGTTGTCTATTGCAATAATGAGCACATGTTGGCTAACACTACAGATTCTGAATTATAAATTGAAAAACTTCTAGTTCGTCCATTAGTTAGATATAATGATGTATTGTTAAATGACGTTTCCTGTTAAACATTTAATTTTGATTATCAGCAAGTTTGTTTTTCGTACTTCAAGTTTACTAAATACTTGGAATGCTCGTTTTATGAGGTAAAGGGAAAGTTGTCAGATAAATTGGTGGGGGGAGGGTAGGTTTAAATAGACAGCAGCATAAATTGGGGGGAACTACTCCTTTGGCTTGGGGGGATTGCGCCTCTGGGTTTGGGGGGGGGGCACCTCTATGTGCTACAAACATTTATTGACTTGGTTGAAATTAAATATTTACTATTTGAATTTGGATTGGCGTAAATATTACAATGGAAAAAAGCAAGAAAGCCTGGACAATTTGATATACTAAAAAGAAAAAAAACTAAACTGAATTAACACTGTGCTGCATTTCTTGAGCAATAATTGAAAGAGCCGATTTGAAACTATGGAAACACAGAAAAGTCATAGAACACCACCAAGTAGAAAAAAATCACATTAACACGTTCACTGCTAAAGGAAATTATAAAATCGAATCGTATTGCTAAAAAACTTAATTGTTTTATATCATTCCTTTTTGTGTCCTTATTGAAATACAATATTATATAATACGATCGGAAGTGAATATGACGTCAAAAAGTTACGTCATAATAATGGGTCAGTACTGACCCATCAGGAGCCAGAGTCAGAAAAAATGGAAATGTCACTGAATACATTATATATGTTACTAAAAATATATGTTCTAAATATATATGTAGTCATTATGATAAAATAACCAACATAAAATAGTATATCAATTGATTGGAATTGATTATGACTTCATAATGTGACGTCATATACATGGGTCAGTGCTGACCCATCAAGAACCGGAGTATAAAATATTTAAATATTAAACAAAAATTACAGATATAAAAGATATGAAATGTTAATATTATTGAAATAAAATAGTTTAAAAAATAATTGAAATTGAATATGACGTCATAAAGCACAAAAAATTAGCAAAGCGAGGGGCGTTCACAGTAATGTGGGTCAGTACCGACCCAGCCGCCACGGCGGGAGCGGGCCGCGGGAACCAACTCAACGGTGAACAAAGCAAGTCACACACTACACGCTAACGTGGTGTAGGTCCACCTTCAGCTGACGCTAGGCTAGCACTGAGCAACATATTGATTCACTGCAGTGTGGGTTAGTACTGACCCGGCAGCATGAGCGATTCGATCGCCGTGGGTCAGTACTGACCCACCCGCAGCGAACGTGTTAAGTATGTTTTTTTTATTATTTATAATCGTTATTTTGGACAACCTAATGCGGCTATGAGTGAGAAACATTTGTAGAAAACACTAAAAACAAGATCAGCGTTGGAAAAATGATAAGATATTTACAATTACAAGAGTATTTTCATCATCTTTGAGTCGACTCCTTTAAAGTCATAGGAAATTATTACTGTTATTTGTTTTCAAATAACTCCTGTAATACTTCGCAATTGCTCGAATTTGAGCAACAGGTACACTAGTATTTTTTATATCTTTTCATATATTTTAAATAAATGTTTCTGAATTTGTTTTACCTAAAGACTAAGATGGTAAAACTAGGGAACAAGTTTAAAACCAAACCAAAGTTCAACTGTTCAGTTGTATTTTTGATGGCCTCGAGCTGTTTAGATAGGGGTCTATTCCGCAGTGGCGGCGATAGCGAGCCCGCGGTGCAGGGTGGAAACTAGGAAGGCCCGCGGGCGTAGACCTAAATTTTTTGGAAAATTACACTGGGACCCGGACGGGCCCATCCATACGGGCGTCTCTATCATAACAATAATATTTATATGAATATTGCCATTCGTTTTTAGTATGGCGAAAATTTGTTATAACCAGTAAAAGTGCTAAGACAAGTAGTTTACACTAAACCGTAGTTTTACTAAACTGTCACTAGGCCTACTTGACCGATAGAAATTCTCTACTAACCTTAGTCAAAAAATTACCAGCAGTCATGCGGGTTGTATCAACTGTCCTCGTGGCCTGCGTGAAGGCGCTATAATAGGGCCAAGAGCAAGCTTAGGTGGAATATCTGTGATAATGTGATTAAATATTATTGCGAGAGGGGTGAACAAACTTGCAGGGGGTTTCTTATCGCCGCCACCGGTCTATTCTGAATAGGTTATGGTAGCTAAAAATAGTTGCTAAATTGTAAATGTAAGTACTGATATTGGACATATGATTTCTCAACTTTTTCAATTTCATACCTCATTATTGATAGCAACATTCTCTCTGATGACACGGTGTGTAGTTGTGGCAATACGAATATCCGTTGTATTTTGGAAGTCCAGTGACAGCTGAAGAAGCTTGCTTTCCATATCCTTTTTTAACCTGCAGAAATGTATAAGACATTTCAGCTAAATGAAATTTTTCTAACAAAATAATAAATAATGTCAAGACCTATAAGAAATTACCTTAGGTTTAAATGATGAATACAACTAGTTGTTAGATTGATTTCTTCTTTGTACAAAGTTTGAACAATGATCAAATTAATTTTTAATTTTGTTTATAACCCTGCTTTCTGAAACTTTTGAACAACTTTATATACATTAATCAGACAGATTAAGAGTAGTTTCTTTGTTATTGCCCTGGCCCAACAAATTTTGTTATTTAAGACTCATTACAAGCCATGTTTACCACATTCCTTTTCCCCTATACACCTATTCTGAACACCTATATAATCTTATTGAACTGGATGGGTAGCTGAGTGGTTATAGTGCTCACCTAGTAATCAAAAGGTTGCCGGTTCAATCCTAAGAAAAGTCAGAAGCTTTTTGATGGTTCGAATCTGGGCCCAGCTGTTCCTGATCATTGGGCTTTAAATAAATCATCCTGACTAATGAAACCGCTGATCTTAGTCAGTAACAAAGCTACACAGGTCATCACACACCATTCTACACTCATCCTTCACTCATATTTGGGTTAAAATACGCACCTAGGTGGCGGCCCCATCCCAAACGATTGATTGATGATATTCGTACATATTCTGGCAACCACTACATTTTAGATTATTTCGTCAATGCAATCCTCCACCCACCTGAACTCCCTGATCCTCCTGTGACCTTTTAATATCTCCCTAACAATAAGATAGAAATACAGTATACCTGAACATTTTGGACAACGTGCATAAAATCCTGTCATCAGGTCAAAATTCATGTTTGATATTCTAATGTTCTCTTTCTCTATAACGTAAGACTAAATTACTTACGTAATTCACGTCACAGCTCAATAAAATATGTCTATTTAGGACATGTTTCGGTGTTAAAACACCATCGTCAGCTTCAGGTACATAGTGTAGAGTTGATCAGTTGTTAACATCGTCAGAAGAACACAGTACGAACACGAATAAATACAAAAACAATTAAACATTTAAAAAACAGGCCTGTTCTGACAAAGATGACCGACCGCACAGGTAGCAAGGGACAGACTAGACCAGCTTATGCTTATCAGTTGTGTGAGAGAGAAAGAGATATTGGGCAAGTATCAGCTGTTGTAGGTTGGACGGAGTTATTGATGAGTGAATTAAAAATGGTGTGGGAACTGAACTGAACTGAACTAAAACAAAACTACTTCGTATTCGATGGTAAAATGTATCACCAAACTGACGGATTGGGTTCCCCCTTATCAGGAATTTTATCCGACATTTATCTAAATCACATAGAAAATACATACATCATGTCAAACACAAATAAATATAGTAGCAAGATTTTATTTTATAGAAGATATGTTGATGACACTATTGTAATATTCAACGGCAATTCAAGGCAGCTACACTTACTCCTTAACTATTTAAATAGTCTGAAACCCAACTTGAAATTCACCCTTGAAATTGAAGAAAGCAACAAACTGAATTTTTTAGATTTAACCATCATTAAAGACAACAATAGATTTAACTTTGACATTTTCCGCAAACCGACGACTACTGACCAAACAATTCATGCTACATCTTATCACCCATATTCCCAAAAGATGGGTGCTTATAATAGTATGGTCCATAGACTAACGGTACTCACTGTCCCACTGAGCAGTGAACATTACCAACGTGAAGTAGCTATTATCAAACATATAGCCTTAGCAAATGGTTTTAAAAGTAATATTGTGGACAGACTAATCCAAAAACATAAAAATAAAAACAATATTACTAGGGACAACATTGCCGAAAAACCAAAGTTCATATGTGTTGATTATTCTCAGACCATACATGATTGTTTGGAAAAAGAATTCAAGAAAAATAACATAAAGTTGACCTTCAACACTAGCAACAGATTAAAAAATATATTAGCCTCAAAAACGACCGCAAAGGACATACATTGTAAAACTGGCATTTATAAACTGAAATGCGCTGAATGTCCTAGTATGTATGTTGGCCAAACAGGACGAAGTTTCAAAACAAGGTTTAAAGAGCACAGACCAGTTTCCAGCTCAACCAAACAAAAATCCACCTTCGCACAACATTTAATAGATTTCAATCATACAATGGGAAATATTGATGACAGCTTGGAAATTCTACACACTTGCAGAAAAGGGAAAAAGATGGACACTCTAGAGGAATATGAAATATACAAAAAGTTTTAACAACGTTAGCACCCGTGAGACTATATTAAACGAAAAACTGCAGTTCAGTTCCCACACCATTTTTAATTCACTCATCAATAACCATCCTCATCAACTCATCTCGTCCAACCTACAACAGCTGATACTTGCCCAATATCTCTTTCTCTCTCACACAACTGATAAGCATAAGCTGGTCTAGTCTGTCCCTTGCTACCTGTGCGGTCGGTCATCTTTGTCAGAACAGGCCTGTTTTTTAAATGTTTAATTGTTTTATGTATTTATTCGTGTTCGTACTGTGTTCTTCTGACGATGTTAACAACTGATCAACTCTACACTATGTACCTGAAGCTGACGATGGTGTTTTAACACCGAAACATGTCCTGAATAGACATATTTTATTGAGCTGTGACGGGAATTACGTAAGTAATTTAGTCTTACATTATGTCCAACAGCTCAGGGGCTACACACATGGATTTCTCTATAACCATTAAGTGCATAATCATGCTTCAATATATGAAATTAACTATTATAGTTTATAAACTGTACAAAATGGTTTAGGAAGAAATTACGGAATTCTACCAATTTTTACCCCATTAAACCATGATTCCATAGTTTGATCATGCGCTTCGCCATGTTAAGTGATAGGCCATCAAGAAGGTGTTGTCTGGTTCAAGTCTCATGTGTAGCAGCTATGTGTTGTTGAGGAGGAAGAAAACATCATCAAAAAGACATTACAGCTCGTGGCATCTAAGCTGGCACTTGGCCTTGCGCGGGTAGTGTTGGTGGGAGGAGGGTGGGAGGAGGGTGGAGGTAGGGAAAAGACCAAACTGCAAACATTTCTGCTGCCCCATGGGGTTAACTCCCCTTGTATTATGTACTTGAGTGCCTTCATATGGGTCGCGAGGACAGTTGATGCAACCCGCATGACGGGACATAATGTTTTTGAACTAGACACTAGAAGCGATCGGCCAAGTGCCAGCTTAGATGTCACGAGCTGTACCTAATCTTGGTTCCTCACAATTAGAAGTTTTAACACAAATAGATTGCTTTAAGTCTTGGAAAACGGCCATAATACAAATAGCATTATTATAAGGTTATTATAAAGGGTTGGGAAAATGTGTGGATACCCCTAGTTAACTTTTTAATGGGTGACACCAGGAAAACTAAACTCCACATACCTTCATAAAAAATAAAACTGCACTTTTTGGACGGTATCTCAATTTTTCCCGGGACCCCAAAATGGGGTATTTTGGGGGTAGCTCCAAAATTTTAAATGTAAAGCCCCATCGAGTGACCCACTTAAATACATTTAAGTGGGTTCTCTCAGGCTGATGAAAATTTAAAATGACCGCCATGTCGTACTGGGTTGAGATAGAGACCTCTAGTTTTCACTGATATTCTTCTTTAATAAAGGCCTTTAAAATGAGGTGTCACTCGATGGGGCTTTACATTTAAAATTTTGGAGCTACCCCCAAAATACCCCATTTTGGGGTCCCAGGAAAAATTGGGATACCGTCCAAAAAGTGCAGTTTTATTTTTTATGACGGTATGTGGAGTTTAGTTTTCCAGTGAATGAAACAGTTTCCTGAAAGACTTTTTTCTAGTAAGAACCAACTTACTCATCTTTTCCTATGATAAACTTTCTCTCTACTTCATAAAGTTGAACTTTATGTATTTTCTCTTGTTCTTCCATAGCTTCCTCTTGTTTCAAGAACTTGTTCATTAAATCTTCTCTTTCTCTTCTAAATTCTTCTAATGAGTTTAATTTACCATCTAGAAAAGATAAAATCAGTTATTTCTTTTCATTAGCAAGAATCGTAAAACTTGTTTAAATTATCTTTTTAATCAGTTTTTTGTTTAAGTTGGTCCTACAATAAATCTATTACTTTTTAACTTGGGCTGTATTCAGGATTACTGTTTTAGTGTTAGCATTTTGTCCAAAATGGTTTGAGACACCCATCATAACTTTAGTCCAATAACCTCAGTTAAGGGGCCCGTGGTCTAGTTTTAGCATTGATTGCTTTTTACCAAAGGCAGCAAAAAGCTTATTTAGAAAAAAGGATATGACCAGATTTACAAATAAAACTTATACATTTTTATGCTTTTAATAACATTAAATTTAAGTCATACTGACCCCCTGTTTACGTCTTATGCTGAATAGTAAAAGAATATATCTGATTTTCTGTAGTAAAATATACTTTAAACTTATCACAGTTTTTGGTTCAAAGTATAGTCTACAATATAGTGTAAACCATCTTAAAATGTTTTACGGTTTAAGTTGTGAGACCTAACACTACAGATAAACATTTTGAGTTTTAACATACTCAGGAGTTTGATTTCAGAGTTAAGCTGTTCATGCATGCTTTTGAAATCATGTTCCATTGTTTTGATCTTCTCCAAGAACATAGCACGTTCTGTTTCTCGAGCCTGAAATGATTTCAAATTATAAGCTATATGTTTTCTCTTGAAGCCTGAAAAACTGTGACACAACATTGATTTATTTTTAATCACATATTCTTTAACTATATTTAAAACCAATTTTGCCTACTTACTTGTATAACCTGCTTTTAAAACAATTTTGAGCAAAAGTCACAATTGGCTATTTTGGTAATCCTGTTCAAACCCAGGATTTTTGCAACTAAAAAATACAGCATATTTCTTTAAAATACAGCAAATGAGTAAAATGTGTATATTAATTAGTTCATTGAATTTAAATAGTTCATCGTTAAGTTACACTCCTATCACAGCAAACCTGCACACTAAGAAAATTATTTGCGTGATTGTATCTTTAATAAAATACTTCTTTAAACATGTCATTTTTATTCCCTATTTAAATAACATTAGGTTTAACTATATATAATAAGGTTTGCTGCTACAGGGAAGGAAAATACCCCCACCGCAGCAAATCTGCCGACTAAGCGAATTTCCATTTGCCTGATTGGCTTTTTACAAAAAATTTCCTTAAAGATAAGATCTTATATAAAATATTTTCTAAAATTATTTCGATAAGATTTATTCCCCATTTACTTACATGACATTAAGTTCAACGAGTACTTGGTTTTCTGCTATAGGGAAGGAATAAATTGTCTTTTTTAGTAAAATATTAATAGCTTTGTATGAAATAAATAAATTAGACAAATTTGATCAAATTCTATAAACCAGTCAACTACAATAGTTTAGGCCTACTCATTCTCCATGGGAATAAAATTAGAATTTTTCACTAATCAAATATATCATAAGATAATAATGTAAAATATTTTTTTAGCTACTTTGACTTTGACATTTAAAGACAAAATTTTCAAAATTGTCTTTAATAAAATAAAATAAAACCACTTGATACAGTATTCTAAATTTAAGAGGCAAAAACTCTAAAATACTAAAACCCTAGAAACGTCTTTCCTATGACCTGATGGGTTGGTTTAGGAATACAACCAATTGGATGCTTAATTTACGTGTGTGATCCAAATGCTTTAAATTATATAAGTATTTATTTTAATGGCTGTTGCTTTTGGCTTCTATCATATTTAATCTATGAAAAATAGCTTATTCTGATAGCCCTGAAAAACTATTTAAATTTCATATATAACCTGCTGAAGAGCCACCAATCGTTCTTGTAGCTCTGCGATTTCATCTGCTTTGGCCTGTAGTGTGCGTTTGAGGTGTGCAATGATGTCTGCCCTGTCTTCATCGAGCTTCTGTAGATTTTTCTTGACCTCTTCATTTTCAGATTCAACTTCATTACAACGGGAGCGTAATCTGTGCAGAATGTATAAGTGAACTAGCATGACACTTCAGCACTGCAGATAGATCCAGCGATCTAGCAGCACTCTCACTGCTGTGATCTAGAGCGATCTAGCAGTGACACTACAGCACTGCAGATAGATCCAGCGATCTAGCAGCACTCTCACTGCTGTGATCTAGCAGTGACACTTCAGCACTGCAGATAGATCCAGCGATCTAGCAGCACTCTCACTGCTGTGATCTAGAGCGATCTAGCAGTGACACTACAGCACTGCAGATAGATCCAGCGATCAAGCAGCGCTCTCACTGCTGTGATCTAGCAGTGACACTTCAGCACTGCAGATAGATCCAGCGATTAAGCAGCGCTCTCACTGCTGCGATCTAGCAGTGACACTACAGCACTGCAGAATCTCCTAGAGTATATCTTTAGGGTAGACTTAGAAATAGAGAATCTGGGAACCTACCTTCATCAATAGGTCAATAGGATAATAGAAGTCCTAGATTTAACACTATCAATCAACCTTAGGAATCATAAAATTAGAGGATGGCATGTCTCAGAGGAGGCCTCACTGTCGGACCACACACATATTTGGTTCAAATTAGAGGCTAACCTGAAGAGGTGTAATAACTACGGTGTTAACACCTCTCCTACAGAGTCCCTAAACAAACCAATTGGATGGGATATAGAGAATCCCTACAAATGGAGCTGGAGGGAACAATGGTATATACCGGAACAGTAGAAGGCTTGGAAGAGTTAGCGGAGTCTGTTGAAACCGCAATACAAAAAGCCTTTGAAGATAACTGCCCCCTCAGACCCAAAAGGATGTCGAGAAACTTCAACTACCATACCTAGTTTTTTATTACAATACCCCCGCCGCAGAAAACCTGCAGACTTAGCGAATTTCCATTTGTCTGATTGGATTTAAACTAAAATGTCTCCTTGAAAATATCACATTTATTCCCTATTTAAACAGTAGTTTAATGAGTATTTAGGTTTGCTGCAACAAGGAGGGTAAAAAAGTTTTTTTTCATGTAAAATGTTACAAGGTACTGTGGTTTAGTAAGAAATTAATGTATTTTCCAAATTTGATCAAAATATGTTCATAAACAAGCAAACTACAACAGTTGACTTATTCTCCATAAGAATAACATGGGAATTTTAAAATTACAATTTTTTTTAATTTTCTCCGTAACAATTAGGCGCATAATAACGCTTCAATATACTAAATTATTTGTTTTTTTAAGCTCTACAAAATGGTTTAAAAAGAAATTGTGTAATTTTGTGTTTTTAGGGTCAAAAATGGGAAAAACCTATTTTTACCCCATAAAACCCCCCATAAACCCCTGTTCCCATAGTCCGATCATGCTGGTTCGCGAACTCATTCAAGTTTATCCCGCTTTACACCTTCAAACCAAATTTTATCAAAATCGGACAAAAATTACTCAAGTTATCGTGCGGATGGACACATATATATATATATATATATATATATATATATATATATCTCTATATATAGATATATAAAAATTTGAACGAATGGTATTTTTGGCCTCTGGGGACATCAAAATGAAAAAGTAAATCGGTCCCGGGCTTAGGTCTTACCATGAGACCTACGGTAATAGCTACTTCCCTATAGGGAAATTCGCTAAAATGACAAGAAAGCTGCGAAAATTTTGTTTGTATTTTAAATTTTATCAACAAGCTAAGTAAACAAATAAGTAGACTATTCAAATTAATTGTACCTGGCTAATTTTTGGTTTAAGTCAGTTATTTGAATTTCATAAAATTCTTTATCAACTTCTGGTAAAACTTCTTTATCCTCCTTTGCTTGCTTCTTTTTACCAGCTCCTTTGGCCTTCTTCCCCATTAACTTTGTACTACTTAATCTGTAACAAAGACAGTCACCAGTAACTTAACACTAGTAATGCAACTTCTGCTAGATACTTGACACTTGACCTGTATCAGAGTGTTGTTGTTGTGTGAGTCGGTGGCTCAGTCGGTAGCGTCGCGGACTTCAGGCCCAAAGCAGTAGTGTCGTGGGTTCGGATCCTGGTCACTGCCACTAACTTTTATCAGTACAGTTCACCTTTGTACTGTACCGGCTCACCCCTTGCTTTGCTGGATACGTTCCACGCACAGATCTGTAGTCTATGTGGACGGACAAATGCAAGGATAAAAGAAGCCGCCAACCTCTTTAAAAAAAAAAAAAAAAAAAAAAATAGGTGCTCTTAATTGACAATCATTTTGTTGAAGATTGCAATTTAGTCACATAACTTTTTGGCATGCACTTCCACCATTTATAGTCAAAAGCCGTGTTTATAACAAAGTTTTCCACTAGTTGCGGTAATTCCTCTTATGATTCTTCAAAATATTAACTTAAAAGTACTTTAGTAGACTATAAAGCTTCCAAAGAAGGGTGATCTCTCCAACTGCAACAATTGGAGGGGTATAACGCTTCTTCCTGTTTGTAGCAAAATCCTTGCTCGAATTATTTTAAATAGAATTAAACAGCCTATAAACGATCGAATTAGAAAGGAACAAGCGGGATTCCGGCAGAACAAATCTACCGTAGATCATGTAAATACACTGAGAATAATCTTGGAGCAATTTTCAGAACACCAAGCTGCATTGTATCTGGTCTTCATTGACTTTGAAAAAGCTTTTGACTCGATCAACAGACAGAAGATGTGGAAAGCAATGAAGGTTTATGGTGTGCCTCCAAAGGTTATAAGGCTTGTAAAAGCCATGTATGAGAATTACTCCTGCCAAGTAGAGCACTGCAAGTCTTTGTCGGAGCCAATAACCTGTAACTCAGGAGTCAAACAATGATGTTTGTTGTCACCTATTCTCTTTCTCATGACTTTCGACCTAGTAATGAAGGAAGCAATGAACCGTAAAAAGGGAATCCAGTGGGGGATCAATTCAAGGCTTGAAGACCTGGATTTTGCTGATGATCTTTGCATTATGGCCCAAAGCTTCAGAGATATAGAAGCTAAACTAAATGACCTAAGAGTAGAAGCACAGCAGGTGGGCCTGAAAATAAATGCCAGAAAAACCAAGGAAATGAGGTTAAATAACCGGAACAACACTCCCCTCAGAACAGGAGGGGATGATATTGAGCGGGCCAATGAATTTTGTTATTTGGGCAGTATGGTGACTGAAGGAGGAGGTGCCGATCGGGACATGGAAAACCGCTTGAATAAAGCAAGAGCTGCATTTGCCCAGCTGAGGCCAGTTTGGAGGAGCTCTGAAATAAGAATAAAAACTAAACTCAGGATCTTTAACTCAAACGTTAAGTCTGTCCTCCTTTTTGGCTGTGAGACATGGAAGGTGACAAACACGAGCACACGCAAACTGCAGACTTGGGTTAATAAATGTTAACGAACCATTCTCAGGGTGTGGTGGCCTGAATTCATCTCTAATGAAGATTTGTGGGCCAGAACCGACCAGGAGCATATTGCTATTCAAATAAATAGGAGACAATGGAGATGGATTGGGCATATTCTTCGGCAACCACAAGATACAGTAGCGAGACAAGCCCTGGAATGGAACCCACAGGGAAATAGAAGAAGAGGGAGACCAAGAACCACGTGGAGGCGGACTGTAGAGAAGGAGTTAAATAGTCAGGGCATGACATGGGCTAGGGCAAAAGAGCTGGCCAACCAAAGGGACCGCTGGAGAGTGTTCGTCGAGGCCCTATGCTCCCCCTAGGAGCGCAAGGAAATAAGTGAAGTAAGTAAAGTGACTTTAGTAGACTAAAATAACTTAGCCTAAAAATTTGTTATCTTAGATACCGGTACTAATAAATACCGGAGAATAGGCACTAATAAAGAGCTTCGAGAGCTATACAGAGACCCGGATATAATAGCCCAAATCAAAAGCAGAAGACTCAGGTGGGCAGGCCAATATCGCAAGAAGAGAACAAAATGCAACAATTAAAGCTATAAATGAAGACTGTCTCCAAAGTTTTTGAGAAGGCAGTGCTGAGTAGATTGTGGATATTCCTTGAGAAACACAGCATACTATTTAAAAGTCAGCACGGGTTTGTTAAAAACAAATCGATGACAAGCACAATTCTCAGTCTCATAAACGGAATTGTAAAAGATATGGATTCTAGACTAGCAGTAGCTGGGATGTTTTTTGATTTCAGTAAGGCCTTTGACCTCGTAAACCATAGACTTCTCCTTAGCAAAATGAATGACATGGGCATTAGAGGCACAGCTCTCGACTGGTTTTCGTCCTATCTTGAAGGTAGAAGGCAGACTGTAATCATACCTGCAGTTGATAACACGGGCCATTTACGGAACCATGTCTCTTCTGACGCTGTAGTGAGGAGGGGTGTGCCACAGGGGTCCGTCCTGGGACCGATCCTCTCCCTTATGTTCATTAATGACCTGCCATCTAGCGTAAATGAGGCAAATGTATGCCTATATTCGCAGACGACACTTCCCTAACTGTGTGCAGACCGAGTATGGAGGAACTGGAACTTGTCACCTGTCTGGAATCAAACTCCCTTCTTCAGTGGTGTGAAGAAAATGACCTAATCTTGAACGCTCAAAAAACCCAAATAGTCCAATTTTCCATTTCTAACCGATCAAAACGGTCCCACTATGACTTGAACATTCTCCTCGATGATACCACTATCTCCCCTTCTTCAGAAGTAAAATTCCTCTGTCTTGTCCTTGACGAAAACCTCAAATTCCACAGCCACATCAAGCAAGAAAGTATCGGTGGGTATATTTATGCTGAGAGTTCTCAGCCAATCAGCCACCACTGATGTCCTATTAGCAGCCTATTATGGGCTTGTTTACCCTCATCTAACTTATGCGGTTCCTGTTTGGGGGTGCGAAAGTGAGAGGACTAGGTTTTTGTTTAGGCTTCAGAGAAGGGCAATTCGAATTGTGTTTTCTATTTCCAAACAAATATCATGCAGGGATTATTTCAGAGCATTTAAAATTTTAACTTTCCCATCTATTTACATCCTCGAAACTCTTATCTTTCCATAGCAAAAATACTTCCTTTCACTCATCTGCAACAAATTTCAGGTATCCATTGCGCAATACTTTAAATCTACCAATTCCCCGACATTCCACTTCTTTCTTTCAAAGAAACTTTCATTACAATTCCGTAAAACTATTTAATAGTCTTCCACCTCAACTGAAGGCCGAACAAGATCTAAAAAAGTTTAGAACATGTCTAAAGTTATTGTTGTTGGACAGATCATTTTACAGCGTCCGTGAATACCTACTTTAGTGGTTATTCAGAAAGTCATGTGCGCTGCGCATGTTTAGTTTATTTAGTTATATAGTTTTTTCAGTAAGGAATTTAGGTTTATTAAGATGTACTTAATTTATTTTTTCTTGTATTGACTTGGCTAATGCAAGTATTGTCAGTTTGGCCCAATAAATGACTTATTGACTTATAACTTACTTATTACTTATAAGGACTACCAAGAGGAAAGCGGCCCCTGGGATGACCACGACTTCGCTGGAAGGACCAAGTGGAAAAGGACTTGAGAAGATTTGGGACAGAGGCTTAATGGATGCAAGACAGAGATAGAGATGGTGAGGCATTGTTGGCGAGGCCAAACACCTTCTGAGGGTTGAGTGGCCTAATAAGTAAGGTAAGGTAAGATACCGGTAACGGCATAGATAAAAGATGGTAACGGCAAAACTTTAATTAGTTTCAAGAAATAACCAAAATATATTATTCCTTTAAACAGAGCACAAAATAACATGTTAACTAGGCGACACAAGTGTCACCTAGTGCTGATATTTTGTCGCCCAGTGACTATGAGTGGTGCCGGCATATTTTTTTTAATGATTCACATTTTAAATTCAAGCTAACAAAATTTAAAAGGTATTTCAAAAACTTCCTTGTGTAATTAAGTGGTATAACATGGACGATTTACAAGCAAATTCGGAAATTTAATTACAAGATACATAGAAATGTGCGATTTTCACTTTAATTCAGGCAAAGATTTTTCCCCCTTATTAATGGGGCCTCCCAGTAAGTCCGGGGCCAATTTCGCCCAGTGGAAATCCCTTAAAATATGCTCTGCCTTTAAAGCAAAGGTAATAATGCTGATACAAATCAAATACAATTGGTCTCTCTGTTTTTACCAATTTAAATTCTAATAGGGACATAAAAATCAGTTTTTAGTTACAGTAGTCCCTAGGAAAGCCCAATTCTTTACATATCTTAATTTTTGCCATTTGCAATTTTTTTACACTTAGGCCTATGTTTTGCCGAATGTGACTCTCAGTTAACCTCCTCTCAGATATATATAGGGAAATTCGCTAAAACAAATATAAATAATTATGATCAGATGACAAGATAGAGTTTAAAATAATTTAAGATTTTCAAAAAAATATGCCTACATATCATTATTTAATGAAAAGTCTAAAATTACCTTACAAACAAAATAACTCCAAACCTAGGTCTATCCTTCTAACAACATAGTTTGAAATTTGGCACCTTGGTAACCTACCAAAAATAAACAAACGATCAATAATCCATCCATGGTTACCAACACAACAAGACTACCAGAATAGAAGCAGATATTTGCTAATATATGTTTCAATTCAACACTTGCTACAACTGTTTACAAAGACAAAACTAGTTTTCAAAGGCAATTTGATAGGAAATGCTTTAGTTGGGAATTCATCTAGTCAATTTTCAAACTCATTACAAGGAATCATCATTTTTTAGCGAATTTCCCATTTAAGGAATAAGCTATATATAGCCGTATACTAATATAGCCATAGGTCTTATGGTAAGACCTGGAATCGGGACCGATTTACTTTTTTGTTTTGATGTCTCAACTGGCCAAAAACACCATTCGTTCAAATTTATATAGTATATTTATTTATATATATTATAAATAATACACAGTTTTCACTACAGTTTTCATTCTTCACTACAGTTTTCATAATTTGTATATATATATTTATACACAGTATATATAATATATACTGTCTGTATACATTATGTATTTATGGATTAAATATATGCCTATATACATTATGTATATTATACAGGGTGTCCCGAACTCTCTACCAATATTTTAGGGCATTGTTCCTGGGTAATTAACATACCTAAATATTATATTTAAATTGCCTGGATGTCCTTAGCTACTCACACAGCCGCCATTTTGTTTTTTTCGGTTATTCATTTTTTTCTAAAGAAGGGTTAAACATAAGAAATGGAAACTTTGCACAAACATTCATGACAACTAGACAAAGCTACCAAAAAATTATGACGATTTTTAAAATTCATAAAACAAAATGGCGGCCATTTTTAATTTTGTTTCTTAAATAGCTCGAAAACCGTTGATTTTACAAAAAAATTACAAGAATAACTTTTTAAGGCAATTTTATTACAAATTTGATTGACACCTAAATTTTTAAGATTGGACGAGTATTAACTGAGGTATGGCAACTTTAGTGATACGTGACCGCTTTCAGCATGCGCTGCAACTAACCTCCAGCGGTCGCGTATCACTAAAACTACCATATCTCAGTAAATACTCGTCCAATCTTATAAATTCAGGTGTCAATCGATTTGTAACGAATTTGCCTTAAAAAAGTTATTCTTATAATTCTTTTGTAAAATCAACAGTTTTCGAGCTTTTTAAGAAACAACATTTAAAATGGCCGCCATTTTGTTTTATGAATTGAAAAATCTTTTTAATGTTTTGGTAGCTTTGTCTAGTTGTCATAAATGTTTGTGCAAAGTTTCAATTTCGTATGTTTAACCCTTCTTTAGAGAAAAATTAATAACTAAAAAAAAATGGCGGCTGTGTGTGTAACTAAGGACATCCAGACAATTTAAATCTGATATTTAGGTATGTTAATTACCCAGGAACAATGCCCTAAAATATTGGTAGAGAGTTCCGGGACACCCTGTATATACTGAACTGACTGTGGGCTTTGCCCCTTTGGATTTAAAAGTTCTGAGGTGAGGATTGTAAAAGTAATAATATTGATTGGTCTCCATGGCTGCAACGAGAACAATCACAATACTCTATTACAGTATTTGCTTTGACATTTCAATGTAAACAAGAATAACTGCCAATTTGTTTATCTTACAATTTCAGACAGCTGATCCAAGGAAATCTATATTTATATTTATTTATTTACTTGCTGAGTACCCGTCCTTCGTACGGGGTTGGTATACAATGCTTATTGTAGTTAAATACTCGTGCTTTGCATTTGCAATGAGAGAGGACACGTTTTGAGAAAATTTGGTTTACTATAATCTACGGAATACTATAGTATATAGAATATCTACCATAGCCATAATGTTCTACCACTTTACCTAAACAATAGAGAGAAGTAAAGTTCTCACACTCAGGTTATTGTTGCTGCTTAGTTCAAATTAGCTGTTGTCATAAATGTATGAAGAACTAATGGTGCTGCACCCTCCCTGTTGGTAAACTGTAACCTTTTAATGCTATCGGATATCATAGAAACAAATTGTGTAGTTGAAACAGCTGGCAAAATTATTTAATTCCTTTTAAATATGAACGAGGTGTTAGCCCGTCCTACGTACGGGAGTAGTAATTTAAAACGGTGTATGCCTATAATTCAGAACAGCTAGTTTACACGTATAAAGACAAATTTTATTGCAGCCTACAGTAGAAAGAGTAATTACTAGGTGGCGTTTGCAGAGGCATCCACAAAATTGAGCGGAGTCATCAGGGGTTCATACTATATTGTTTTTGTCATACTGCAGTAAAAACAGTCGTTTTTAATGCATGCGTTGCGGGTCTAAAGTAGCATTTTTACTCTTTAGGGAGTAAAGATCGTTTTTAGCCTCTATGGAGTAAAAATCAGTTGTTGACAACTCAGTTGTAAATTTCTATTGTAAACGATTGCATGTATCGAAATATGTATCGATTTGTGCTTTGTAATCATTTTAACCTACAGTCTACAGTCTCTTCCCATAGCATTTTAGCATTGCAGATACATTAATCCATTCCCACACTCAACACTGCTCACCTTTACTACTTCCTTCATCATCCCCTACGTCGTGGACCTGTTTCCCTCTCTTCCCATAGCATTTTAGGATTGCAGATACATTAATGTAATTGCCAAAGGCAGTTCCCACACTCTGCACTGCAAGCCTTACTACTTCCTTCACCATTTCCTACGCCATAGACCTGTTTCCTTCCCTTCTCGTAGCATTTAAGTATTAGAATTGACTATATATTGGTATATTGACTATATAATGGTATTAGATACATTTATCTAACTGTCCAAACGGTTCCCCCACTCTCCACTGCCAGCCTTTAAAACTTCCTTCACCACTTCCTACGTCGTAGGGCCTGTTTCCTTCTCTTCTCTTAGCATTTTAGGATTGAAGATACATTAATCTAACTGCCACAGACGGTTCTCACATTATGCTCATACTTTACTACTTCCTAAGCTACTTCCTACATCGTGGACCTGTTTTCATCACTTTCCATAGCATTTTAGTATTTTAGATACGTTAATATAATTGCCACAAACATTGCCCACACTTCACACCGCTAGCCTTCTTCTTTCACCATTTTCTATGTCGTGGGCATGCTTCCATCCTTTCTCATAGCATTTCAGCATTGCAGATAAGTTAATCTAACTGCTACAAAGGGTTCCCAGTTCCCACACTCCACACTGCTCACCTTACTACTTCCTTCACCTCTTCTTACGTCGCGGGCCTGTTTCTCTCTATTCCCATAGAATTTTAAGATTGTAGATACCGTACCTTAATCTAATCGTCATAAACAGTTCCCACACTCCGATAAGCTTGCCTTGACTACTTCCTTCACCACTTCCTACGTCTCGGACCTGTTTCCCTCCCTACCCTTAGCATTATTGGATTGCAAATACCTTAATCTATTGGTTATAAACATATCCCACACTCTGAAAAACATTTCCTTTACTACTTCCTTCGCAACTTCCTACGTCACCGACCTGATTCCCTCCCTTTCCATAGCATTTTAGGATTGCATATACCTTAATCTAATCGGCATAAACAGTTCCCTCACTCCGGACAGCTCACATTTACTGCTTCCTTCACCACCTCCTACGTCACAGACCTGTTTCCCTCCCTTTCCATAGCATTTTAGGATTGCAGATACCTTAATGTAATCGCCATAAACAGTTCCCAAACTCCGGACAACTCGCCTTCACTACTTCCTTCACCACTTCCTACGTCACGACCCGTTTCCCTCCCTTTCCATAACATTTTAGGGTTACAGATACCTTAAACTAATCGTCATAAACAGTTGCCACACTCCGAAAAACTCGCCTTTACTACTTTCTTCGTCACTTCCTACGTCACAGACCTGTTTACCTCCCTTCCCATAACATTTTAGGTTTGTAGATACCTTTATCTAATCGTCATAAACAGTTGCCACACTCCGAAAAACTCGCCCTTACTACTTCATTCGTCACTTCCTACGTCACAGACCTGTTTACCTCCCTTCCCATAACATTTTAGGTTTGTAGATACCTTTATCTAATCGTCATAAACAATTTCCACACTCCGGACAGCTCGCCTTGACTACTTCCTCCGCCACTTCATACGTCGCGGACCTGTTTTCCTCCCTTCCCATAGCATTTTTAGTTTGTAGACCTTAATCTATTGGTCATAAACAGATCCAACACGCCAGACAACTCGCCTTTACTACTTCATTCACCACTTCCTTCGTCACGGACCTGTTTTCCTCCCTTCCCATAGCATTTTAGGTTTGTAGATACCTTAATCTAATCGTCATAAACAGTTTCCACACTCCGGACAGCTTGCCTTGACTACTTCCTTCACCACTTCCTACGTGGCAGACCCCTTTTCCTCCCTTCCCATAGCATTTTAGGTTTGCAAATACCTTAATCTAATGGTCATAAACAGATTCCATACCCCGAACAGCTCGCCTTTACTACTTCCTTCACCAATTCCTACTTCTCGGACCCCTTTTCCTCCATTTCCATAGAATTTTAGGAATGCCTTTAATATTACCTTTATCTAATCGTCATAAACAGTTTCCACACTCCGGACAGCTCGCCTTGACTACTTCCTTCACCACTTCATACGTCGCGGACCTGTTATCCTCCCTTCCCATAGCATTTTAGGTTTGTAGATACCTTAAGCTATTGGTCATAAACAGATCCAACACTCCAGACAACTCGCCTTTACTACTTCCTTCACCACTTCCTACGTCACGGACCTGTTTTCTCCCTTCTCATAGCATTTTAAGTTTGTAGATACCTTAATCTAATCGTCATAAACAGTTTCCACACTCCGGACAGCTCGCCTTGACTACTTCATTCATCACTTCCTACGTCGCAGACCTGTTTCCACCCTTTCCATAGCATTTTAGGATTGCAAATACCTTAATCTAATCGTCATAAACAGTTTTCACACTCCGGACAGCTCGCCTTGACTACTTCATTCATCACTTCGTACGTTGCGGACCTGTTTTCCACCCTTCCCATAGCATTTTAGGATTGCAA